AAACCACTGTAATGAAATTAATCCCATAATAGGTTGGCTCTTTTCTAAAGATTCCTATTTAGCTTTATCTTTTCTGCTGCTTATCTTCAGGACAAAGGATTCTTTGCACGTCACCTAGATCTAGAACCCTCCCAGCTTTAATTTTCAGTTCTGCAAATTTTACGGGTACCATTTTGATGAATCATCTGTTTTTGGTTTGTCGAAGGATTGTTAATTGCGTTTTTATTGGGGTAGAGGTTACAATTCCATTTCTTTTGTTTGAAACGTTGTTAGGGTTCTGTATGGTTCTTTGGGTTTCAAATTCTAATTATGAGCTGGAAAGTATGCTTTATGCTTGCTTTGGATATTATTTGTTTATGTATTGAATTTACTCAATATCACCGTTTTTCCACTTATTTGATTCAATGATTATTCATTTTTATTGGTTTTCTTGTAGAGGTTACAGATTCATTTCTTTTAGTTTCGAATTTTATCTGGGTTCTTTATGATTTTTTGGGTTATCTAGACTCTAGTTATAAACTGAAAAGTATGTTTTACTCTTTAATTGAACATGATTTATTTTTCTTCGATTAACTTATTATTGTTGTATTGCCACTTTAGTTGATTCAGTGATTACTGATTATGTATAATTGTTTATCAAGAATATCACTTATTCAACCTGTTACTTTCTTATAGCCAGTGGTTTGTTCTTTTAACCTTGTGAATCAGCTATTAATCATGAATCTATAAACTGTATATCTCCTATTGGTGATTTTCAAATAAATACTCATTAAATTTGTGATGGTTTCAGGTGTAAAATAATGGAAGGTATTATAGTTAGGAGAGTTATCCCTTCCGATAACAGTTGCCTCTTTAATGCGGTCGGGTGAGCTTTTAATCTTTATTTATTTTAGCTTGCCAAAAAGGAAAAAGTTTGTATTCCAAATTTATCTCTGTCAAAATTTTGAGAATTTACATATGTATTTAGTAATTAACTTATCGTGTGCAGTTATGTCATGGACCACGACAAAAATAAAGCACCCGAGCTAAGACAGGTTACAAATTGTATTTTGTTATGCGTGCAAAATAAATAATTCTTAGATCACGCCATTTGTGATTCATTCAATGTGCTGATGCTTTTAATGCTAATACCAGCGTTTTGAGATTCAAGTTATGGAGAGGGTGAAAATTTATTCTCAGCATCAATATAAGAGTTTTTAAATTTGAGAAGAGAAAATAAATAAAAGAAATATTACGCTCTGTTTCTTTCTGGATTGGGGAGTAGGAGGAATGACTACACAACGCCAAAGCATAGAATACTTAAATTGAGCATGTCTGCTGTCAAATGGGTCTAGTCCTTTTTTTTTCCTTTCATTAAGTTTGGCATTATATATTTTTATTTAGGTTATAGCTGCAACAGTGGCTAGCGATCCAGAAAAATTTTCTGAAGCATTCCTTGGAAAGCCCAATGAAGAGTATTGTGCATGGATTCTTGACCCAGAGAAATGGGGAGGTAAGTTTTGCATTTGTTGCATATAGATGAACTACGTATCAAGCTGAGGCAGCTGGGTTGAGAATGCAATTTTCTTGTTTACCTCCTTGTTTTGGTATTGAGGTGGTTTATATCATGGGCTGGGAGTCCACGTGTATTTCTATACAGAATCTGTACATTGGATCCATTACTTTTTTTATTGTCACGAAGTGCAATATAATACGATAACGTTTACCTCTTATGGATTTACAATATTTATACCTTCTACTTGTGTTCAATTTTTTTGCTCTCTTTTCTTTTTCTGCATTTTCCTAGTGAAATTATAAGTTTTTACTATGGAATGTTTGAACAGACTACAATCTTCAGCTTTTCAAAGTGCAATATCTATTTTTCTTGATCTATCTACAAAAGCAGTTGCGTCTTTTCTCATCTGCCATCCTTTGGTCTGTAATTTTTTGCTTTTATGAGCAAATAATCACATAAAAGTTCACGACAATGACTTAAATTGATTTTGGCCTTATAGCTTGCCAAAACTGCTTTCCACATGGTTAACTTTGTTGGATGATCTCCATCACGTCTCTCTCTTATCTGTGCACATAATCAGATTCCCAACTGGGGTAATTTGGAGATAACCGTGAAGCACCTTAACATTTCCTTTGACTGTTCATTATCAATTGCATGCTTGTGTCAAAAATCAGTGATTTTTTGGGGGATTTTTTTTCGGCATTGGAAATTGGGAATAACATATGCGAATTGTAAGCAGCTTTTCTTCTAATGTAACTGATTTTGAGAGCGATTCAAATTTATATTTTTATCAAATAAGATTGCCTTTAGATCTTTTATCAACAGGAAAGTAGTTGGATCGAGGATTACTGGACTCCTTGAATCGATTCGAAGGTCTCTCTTTGAGGAGATTAAAGTTTCTTTACTTGCTAGCAAGTGGTTCGATGCTATCATTCTTAACCTTTAATGGCATTTGGGTGATGATCTTGTTTAAGTTCTTACAAAATTATCTCAATGTTTCTTGAGAAAATTCCTTTTCTTCAGTCAACGGCGATGACACTCGTTTTCTGTGGGGTCAGCATCTTGGATTGCGTTAACATTGTGCCTACATGGGGTTATTTGTTACAGTATTGCACTATGAATATCAAAGCTTGTTAATTCATCTGTATAATTAAACTCTCTTGATTTTTTTATATTAAGGTGGCATTGAGCTTGCAATACTGGCCGAATATTATGGGCGTGAGATTGCAGCATATGATATACAAACCAGCAGATGTGATTTGTATGGACAGGTTAGTGTTGAATGTCTTCAGCAATTCTTTATAACATCGTTGTTGGATTTCTTACTATTTTTTAATCTCCTTCGGGATTTTATTAACAGGGAAAAAACTACCGTGAAAGAGTTATGCTGATCTATGATGGACTGCATTATGATGCTTTAGCTGTATGTTGTTTCCTCTCTCAACGCCCCTAACCCCCACCACACACTAACACACACCCCACCAAAACAACACCAATCCTCTTGACATTATTTGCGTGTGTCCAAGAATCTGTGTGTGCATGTTTATAAGTTATTATGTTCTTATAAATCCTAATTAGAAATCGATCGAGAAGTGGTTCATTTGTGGAAACCTAACATGCTACCTGCCTATGCTTTGGACTAGCCTTGTATACAAGCTTATAAGATTTAATAGATTTTGACTTTCTAATTGAATACGACCCAGACAGTCAATCATGTAATTCGGGAGACAGAAAAAAATGGTTAATGATTTGATAGCAACATTTTTATGTACTTCAAGAGGTAAAGAGAGCAGATGGCGAGAGAGAGTTTTCTAAGCCCATGTTTGACCACCATTATTTGAACACTCTTTTTTCTACATACTCATTTTTCAACCACACATTCACACAATACAATATTTTGCACGTCAATCCTAAATTTTCCCGAACCATAGATTCTCTTTAAAATCACTATTCATTGTTTTTCCCAAATAAAAGTTGCGAAACAGGGAGTAAATGTGAAACAACAGTATAACTAGAGTATGGTGTCTATAATTTCTGGCTTTTCAAATTACTTAGATTATAATTGGTGTTAAGAATGATACGGTGTCTACCTTTCAACAGATGTCTCCTGCCGAAGGAGCTCCAGAAGAGTTTGATCAGACGATATTTCCTGTGCAAGTGGACCGGACCGTGGGGCCAGCTGAGAGACTTGCCCTTAATCTGGTTAAAGATCAGCAAAGGTAACACGATATATTTCCTTTTAGCAATAGCTTAATAGAAACTACTTAATAACCCAATCATTCTTACTCCAAAATTTTAAGTGTAAATAGCTATTGGAATGACTTTGTTATTATCCCCGGTTGTGTCTCTTTCATTTCATCTGTTTCTGTTATGTTGGTTCTTTATAGGCATTTTAATAGCGTTTTGCACCTTTCAGGAAAAGGAGTTATACCGACACTGCCAACTTCACTTTGCGATGTGGTGTCTGCCAAATTGGAGTTATCGGCCAGAAGGTTTTAAGCCCTTCATCGTTTCCTTTCTTACAGCGTGTTTGCCTAAGCTTAAAAAGTTAACAGATTAATAAATTTACTTATAAGTCATTATCTAAGAGCATGTTTGGAAAGTATTTATAAGCAGTTTAAATTATAAATAGATAGAAATGCGTGTGTTGCGAAGTAGTGTTTCTTGTAGATTCCTCGAAATATGTGAATAATAAGCCATGTTTGAGCTCCATTTTTATCAAAACTCATTTTCAACGAAACATTCTCTCACAAAATAATTTTATACGTAAATTCAAAACTTTTTCCTACTTTTTAACTACACGTTCTCCAAAAATCACTACTATAAAATCCATTTTTCTCAAAAAAATGAGACTCAAACAAGGGTTAAATGGCTTTATAAACATGAGCCAAACATAGGCTAATTTTCATAATGGGTCGATTTCTTTTTTGGTCAAAGTTGAAGAAACTAAGCAATGAGCAACTTTTTTTACTTAAAAAGTAAGGAAAAAGTAACATACTACGAAAACCAAAAGTGCTTCAAAGTAATTTCATCTTTTTTAAGAATAGCCTAACGCATTCTCAATCCTGCCCATAAAATTTTCAAGTTTTTACAATTCTTCTTGTTATATTTGCAGGAAGCAGTGGAGCACGCACAAGCAACAGGCCATGTGAACTTCCAGGAATTTAAATGATTCATCTGTTGCCATAAACCTGTAATGTTGTTTCAGCAAGTTTGAAATTGTGTTGTGTTTTGTGGAAGAAGAAAACCTTCAAGACTTGTTGCATTTTCTGGTTCCTTATTGTAACATTGAAGAATTTTTTAGATTTGAAAAGGATACATGTAACCAAATAGGAATATGTTTCAACCTGATCAATAGAATCTTGTATCAGATATTCGTTTTCGTTTAGATTCTCTCAATGAAAATCCACAGAGATTAAGCAACAATCCCTCAAGTAAAAACCATCTCTAGCTTACATAAGTTAAAACTGTACCAAATGAATTTGGATATAAGCACTGTGAGATGCTATTGTAGAGCAGCTATGCACTCGATTTCGACCCTTGCATCCATTGGTAGTGCTGCCACCTGGTAAGTTGAACGAGCTGGCGCAGGCAATGGAAAATCTGCCACACAAGTTACCCAAGTTGTACTAAATTTAAAACAAGTAGCTATTAAACAGTTTATAGCACATTTTCCACCATGGAAAGTAAATACAGTTTAGCACGATGGCTGAAAGAAGGAAAAATGTCGACCCAACATTTAGACTTACAGGTGCAAATTGTTCAAATTATAAACAGTACTTAGTTTTTATTCCCAATAAACTTGGGGTTGGTTGTGAATCGTCTTTCGCCATTTTGTTTAACGTTGAACTTCTTCTTCTAAAACGTCTAAAGAAGTCAAAGATTTTATCAACACCTCAAGGCTGAGGCCAACTCTTCTATTATGTTCTATTAGTAACATAACCATGAATTTCTTTGGATTTATGCAAGACAAAGCCCATCCATCTGTGCAGTGGAGGTAGATGTAATTCATCGTAAACTTATAGCATTGGAATTCATAACGAACAAAAAGTCTCAATGATTTTAACAAAGAACAAAAACTACCATTATAGTAGTACCTTAGTATGAAGCTCATGCTATCTTCACAACACTTTAAACAATCAATGACACAGATTTTGACAACACTTGGAGTGTCAAACTTAATGTACACCAAGTGTGTACAACTAGTTTAATCCATATAAATATTACATATGCACTATGTACTTCTCCTATATATGTTCTTAATATTCTTGCGCTTCCAAATCCCAAATGACAGCAGTTTACCCAAGCTGCTAAATCTATATTAATTTATATGTAATTTGGCTCAACATGAGTATATAAGCTCTTTCAGTTACTAAAATCTTGCACATTTTCCTTCCTTTAATAATAAAATAATTGGTACTAAATAACAAAAAAGGGAAATTGATTTTGTTAAAATTTTCTGGAAATAGAATGTTTCAAATAGGTACATGGACATGAGGAAGGGGTAACACCTTTGCTATTGCATGTGACATACAGAAATCAAGCTGTGTGTGTTACACTACCAAAGGTTTCGTGTAATTTAATGAAGAAACTAGCCAAAGAAGGCTTCCACTCTTATATTCTTTGTAAATTCTCATATTGGATTTTTATAACCCACATTCAGGTTCATTCATCACGTAACCATGAAATGAGTTGACAATATTTTCATGGAGAATTTAAGTCTCAAATCTATATGAACAGCACAGTTGACTTCAATTCTGCGAACTTACATTTAGCATAGATCTCATTTACTTTCTCGAAGTCTTCGAGATCAGCCAACCTGTAAAGAAACATGACACTGTGTCAATTGTGAAACCCAAAATCATTCTAATGATGAAATGCGTATTAGTGCAAGCTTCATGCATCTGACTGCATGCAATAGAGAGAGAGATGCTCAGAGAATTCAATCGCAACAAGATCACGCACATGATTGTTGTTTTGACCACCGAGGAATAGCTGGCACCACTTGCTTTAAGTATCTCACCCATATTCTTAAGAACCTAGCAATACACGCACGATCTTAAACATGTCAGTATGCCATTCACCTTGGGCTCAGAAACTAACGCTTAGTTTTTTTGCTCTTATTGTTGCTATTCTTTCTAACATATTCTTTAAAAAAGAATTACAACAGGAGTCCAAATATCAGAAATACCTGCTCAGTTTGATCCTCTACACTATCTGAGGCAAACTTTCCTGTCTACACTTGAAAATTAGTTTACAACCACCATAGTATATTATGTAGTATACACTATATATTAATAAATTAAAATTATACATATAAATATGCAAAATTAAGTATAAAAATATTTCATAATATGTGATCTAAAATGTCAAACCTCTGGAATTAGCCCAAGAACCCCAGACACGAAAAGCATATTATTTGCTTTAATGGCTTGAGAATATGGCCCCAATGCTGCTGGAGCCTTTTCTGTTTGAATGGCTTCCTTTATGCCTAAGTTCATTTGCATAATAGTATGAGCATCATGCACCACCAGGCAAAGGCATAAATAAATGACAAAAATGAATTAAAGATCTTAAAGAAGAGCTGTTCAATGAATTGAAAGAAAATAGATTATCCCCAATACCAGACACAAATCAGTAACATAGTGGGCTAAATTGCACTGATGGGAAAAAGGCACGAGTTACTCACATTCGTCAACTCTTCCTTCTAAAAGAAATTAATTGGATTATTAAAAATAAAAAGAAAGTAGATTGTGTTGGCTTTAGTACACCATGAAGAATTAATACTGGTTACTAAAAACAACCATAAGAGGAGTGTTAGCCACCCCAACCCCTTTTCTCAATAGGGTATATGCAGTGTTGGCCTTGAACTAGCAGCATATTACTGTTTCTTTACTAATGATCATATGACAAAGTCATCTAAAAGCCCATTTAGCAAGACTTTTGAAAAGTCAATAGCTGCTGCTAGCACTAAGAAGCTGCTTTTGAACATGTTTTTGATAATTTTCTGAAAGTGCTTTGTAAGCTTGAAAAACTTTTAGAAGAAGCTGACTTAATATAACTTCCTCATAAAGGTCTTCAATAAAAAACAAGAACAAACGCAAAAATCCTATCAGATGGGTCCAAAAATAATAGATACCTATTGCTTTTACCTGGTTATAAAATGGGGAAAAGATTACAAGCGCCACCCCCAACCCCCCACCCAATAAATAAAAACTAAAAATAAAATAAGGATAATGACAATAATAATGAAAGAGCAAACAAAAAGTTGCAGAAACCAACTCCAAATAACAAAAAATTGACCAATATACAATGTGATCAGCACTGCAACTTTCATAAATCAATTCACATTCATAGTCACGAATCATTACCTCTCTAGTGTAGAATTTAACTGCTTGCTTTCACTTTGAGGCACATCTATGTTACAATATAGCAACAGATATCTTCTACTTCATCTACTAAACATATAGCACTGTTCACTAAACAATTGGCTAGTTTAGTGCATATTCGTCTCAATTAGTAGTCATAAACGACTCAATTTCCATGGTTGAAACAGAGAGTGATCTATTACCATATTCAACAATTTCAGAAATAATGAAATTAGTTATAATTCGCAACTTAATTATACAATTTTTCATTTTTTTTTAAAACCGTACCATAAAAACTGAATTTTCCCCCTTTAAAGTTAGACCTAACATTACACTTATCGATGTATCTTGAACGAACGAGGTCTTAAATTTTATTTATTTAATTACAGTCCGTTTAAAAGCAATTAGAGAGTCCTGGAACAAGCCACAACCAATGATCACGCGGTACAATACTTTAATGCAGCATTTCAGTTCAAACGGCCGAATTCTTTTCTGATTCTCCAACACATTTCAAATAAATTGAACTGAATTTCAAAGGAGCGAGAATGGGTGGAAACTCACTGGCAGTGGTATCAGTAGAAATGCCTAAGGATGCGAAGGGCGTCGATCGAGATACCGAGGCAGGGCGGCGCATGTTAACGGCGGCCAAGGATACGAAGCCGACAACTGCGGCTAATGGAAGCCGGTTACGTAGTGCGCCGATATCGATCGACGGCATTTGGAAGATCCTTGCAGCGGCGGACCAAGCCATGAGACTTTCTACTTGCAGCGACCTGTATTGAAACTTTTTTCATTGGCGATATTTCTAAATGGCCGGTGTATATTTTTTTTCTAATAGCCTGTTTTAGTTACATTTTTTTTTTCCAGAAATAATATTTTGATAAAGAATGAGTCGTTAAAAAATAATTTTTTTTTTAAAATCTCCGTATAGTATTATTTTATTGAAAAATGATTAATTGAAAATGAGAGAAAAATATATATTTTGAAAATTATTAGGACGGGCAAAAAATATCTTTTTGTCCATTTATACATCTTCTAGTCCTTAAAAAAAAGTTACATTTTCTTAAAACAGACAATCGGCCCTCGTTCTTTAAAGCAATTCTTTTAGGCTTTGTTTGTTAGCCCTTTTTTTCCAATTTCTATTTTCCACGAAAATGATTGTTTGATGGGTTTTGATCGACATGGAAAACTAATTCCATCCACTCCTCACACGTGCACCAGTTGAAGGTTTAGGTGGGAAAATGATTTTCAGGTTATTTTTTTTTTTGAGTTTGTTTTATTTTATTTTTTTTGCAATGGACACAAATTTTATCACCATTTATAAAAAAAAAAATTCTTTTAATAGACAATTTTCATTAAAAAAAAAAGTCAAACAAACATCAAAAGATCCAAAATTTAAATATTTTTCATGTGAAAAATTATACCAATCAAACACAATTAATTGACGATTCTCAAAAAAAAATTATGGACAATTCAATTACCTGAAATTCATTTTTTTCCACCAAAATTTCACTCTTACAATCAAACGGACCCTTAGAGTACGTTTGACATGACTTTTGAAATATATATATATATAGTTTCTGAAACTAAAAATGTGCTATTGAACATGTTTAAATTATTTTTTCAAAGCAGAAGAACTTTTAGATGAAGTTAGACTAAGATAGCTTTTCCTAAAAGTTTTTCTACAAAAAACAAAAACAAAAACAAAAGCTGGTCAAATTTTCCTTAATTGCTTCACTTATATGATAAGTAGCTAAAACCTACACATTTAAGTATAGCCAAACGCATCGCTTATAAAATATTTTGTTTGTCAAGATTCGGAAAGCACATCCGAAGGCTAGCATTCCTGCATATTTATGATGTTGTACATACATTAATCCCCTGACAATCATACTTTTGAAAAAAAAAAGTGTTTTGAATTGTGATTTTTAGAAGAATGAGTGATTAAAAATTGGGAAAATTTTTTGAATTTACGTGCAGAATATTTTATTGTGTGAATATATGGTTAAAACGAATGTGTAGAAAAAAATTTGAAAAACATGGTTGTCAAACAAGGACTAAAATGTATGTAAACGATACATCATACGGTACAATAATCTACAATACTACGAATCAAATACGGTATAAAGCATTATATACACTTGGTATTTATTGATCCAATTTGGCCAAAAGACTTCTTACTAAAGAGATCAAATTCTTTATGCTCACACAGTTGTTACAACAATAAACTGTGCCTTGCCGCCCCCCCTCCCTCTGTTTTTTCTTCTCATAATTGCATTCAAACTTCATTTCTACACAATGGACAGGTACCCTGCCGGGAAAGCCAGTCATCTATGCAGTGCAGGTGAAAGGAATGTCCACAGCTTGGTAGCATCTTTGCACATTCCCCATCCCTAAAATCCTACATTCGAGACACAGAAAGTGAGATTTATTAACAAACTCGACGTATGTCAAGTTTAAATAATCATCATTTGCAATTTGTACGTCACATGATTGACAACGGCATGTATGTAACACATTGATCAAATATGAACTAACGTGTTGGATATGCTAGATGGAACAAGTGATAATGATGCATATGTTCAGTGCTGTCCATTTTTACGTAACAAACATATCAGATTGCAAAATTCAAATTTATTAGACTTATCAACCTATCATTAATATGCACAAATGATTCTTACTTTCGGTTTCTGCGTGATAAGACATTTTAGAGATGGAGGGCTTCGAGAAGATGGTCGTTTTTTAAATTTTTCGTATTAGAATTTTAAGGTAAAACTGTGTTTTCACGCCAATGTAACAATCATGTTGGACAAAATTCGTCATCAGCGACCATTTCCAGCAGCAAAGTCGACGAGCTTAATGCCAAGAGAAAAACTAAGCGGATAAAAGGTTCATCAGAGAACTCACCTGTAAGCAAATTGCACAACTTTTCTCTTGAGACAGTGTGTTTCTCTCTGTGGAATAAATTGTGTAATTTGGTAACTTCTTGATTATATCCTGAGGTAATCCTCTGGTTGCATTGACATCAAAAATGTCTGAAATCTCTCTTAAACTTGTATCCATAGTGCTAATCTGAAGCACAAAAATAATCTCACTATTTATAAGTGGCAGCTAAATAAGCTGAAAATGAACTAAAAAAAGGCCATTAAATTACACCTGCCATTGATAGGCTTTTAATACTGCAGGGCTCACCCATTCCATAAAGATCTTTCCATTTAATAGACTATAGATTAGTGCAACCTGAAAAGTTATTCCCCTGTTAATGAGCAAATTGTTTTGAATATGAGAAATTATCAGTATGTTTGACTAAGATTTTTTTAAAAAAAAAAAAAAAGGTAAAAGTTACTTTGTGAATTACATACTTTTTTAGTAAAAAGATGTTTTGAAGTGACTCTTACTTATTTTCAAGATGAGTATCTAAACGAAAAATGTGACATGGTAGTCTAGATATTTGTCGACTAGTTTTTTTCAGCGACTAAATATTGTTAGGTATCCATGATCATGAAAGTGGCATAGTATCAAGAACGTGTTAGGACTTCAAAAATTTGCTTATAAGTAGAAAGTTTTAAGATAGATAGATTCTGAAAATAAGAGTTAATTTCAAAATAAGTAACATTAAAACCTTGGAAAATGGCTCTCCATCGACTATAAGATCCATCAATTGGACGGCTGTGATTGCCCCTGCCACCGTGCCGATCCCGATGCCACGCAGTAGACCGGTTTCTGTAGTCTGGCCTCTGATTCCTCCTGTGACTGCTCCTATGGTAGCACCACCTAAATTGCCAAGAATGTGAAATTTTGATACTGAGCCACATTGAAATTTTCATTATCATTCTTCTACTCATTTTCAACAACACATTTTTCAATAAAATAATATTTTTCATCACATCAATAACTTTCCCTTCTTCTCCAACCACACATTCTAAATCAAAATACATTATTCCAAAATAACGTGGCTCAAACACACCCTAAAATGATTTCAAAACAAGGATCTTATGGATTAAACTCTAAATCCCTATTTGTAATAGCGATAATATTCAAAAAGATCCCTCGTCGTGGCCCGCGGGAGTGAAATCTACTCGCAGTAAGTTCACTCTATTGGTTTTTTCAGTACACCCCATAAATTCAACCCCATGAAGGGACATGTTTAGAATTACAACTCAACAATAGACAGGACAATGAACAAACACTTTAAGTGCATTTCTTCGTACGTTTATCGTCGTGTCTAATATTGTTTAATCCAAGCACCAAATACGTCACAAAATTGGATGAAATTATAAAAAAAAAAAAGGAAACTCACATACCTAAAGCAAAAATACATGTAACTAGAGCTGTGGTAATTTTCTTCATCAATACAAACAGAAGCCAAGATTCTGTAGAAACCCAAGAAAAAATAGAGTAGAACCACCTGTTCATCACTGTATGGCAGATCATTATACGTACATAAAACTTCTCTTCATTNTTATCAGATTCAATTATTGAAGTAAATTAGTTACATTCTCAGATGTGTCGATATCAATGGTTACTCATTATTTTGATGAATCATTTCTCCGGACAGAAGAAAACTATGTAAACACTTACTTGAAATCTCACTTATCAGATTCAATTATTGAAGTAAATTAGTTACATTACTGAATGTAACTAATTGTAAGAAAAAAAATTAACTTATTTATTTTCAACTTTGAGTATAAGAAAATGTTGATTAAAAATTATTTAAATAAGACAATAAATACGGATTTAAAAGAGGGAATGGATGGGGATTGGGGCACACTTTGTGTTAGAAAAATGGCAATGCCCATGAATTGCGACTACGAATGTCCTTGAGCTATAAATTCATGCATTTCCATTATCCAGCTGAATGGCCAGCTAGTAGTTAGAAAATTCTTGAAATAAAATCATTTTTTATTTATTGGTTTGAAATATTGAATTTAAGGGTAGTATAGTTTGTAGATCCCATCGAGATATTTTGTTAAAGTTATCGTTATGTGACATTTTAACTGTAATGAACACATACTATAGACTATAAACAGAACCTCACAGAACCTACTATCTTCATCTCGTAAGAATCTAAAATCACAAATATCATTAGGGGTGAATATTTTAATTGGAATCGAACCTCACTGAACTGATGATTCCAATCCGATTCTTGAATCAAACCGCGAGTACCTGATTCTCTAACCGAATTTAGCATTTTTTATAAGTTTTTTTTAATTAATTTACCTGACCTACTGATCAGTCCATCAAGTAGTAAGTTTGCAAAGTCGATGTAGTAATATTGTATATTGTTATACTAGATAGTGGATGTTGTTTTTTACATATTTGTAGTGAATTAAGAAAGTATAGAAATATATATTTGGTGACATATTATATTTCTTCTATTTTTTAATATTGAGAAAATAATTTTTATTGTTTGTTCATGATTTGTAAAGAAAAATATTATGTTAGAATTGAACTCGAAAATCGAAATGACGGTTTGGGTTCAAATTCGGTAATTTTATTTCGAAGGAGTTGATCGTTTCAAGTATTGAAAAATCAAATCGACGGTCACTTAGAATTAAGGATTAATCTATGTGTACATAGATTAATCTATAAGGAATGACATAATATGAGTGGGGTGGGGGCCCGTGCCACAGTAGTGCGGGCCCCACCCCACTCACATTATGTCAACTCCTATGTGTACATTTATGTACACATAGCATATCCCTAGAATTAAATAGACTATACTAGTTGTACAATCGAAATTGAAAATCTTGGTTGACAACCACTCACATTAGTGGGTTCACCTTTTTTTTTTTTGAATGTTTTAAACACGCGGACTCCGCACACATGTGAGAGGTTGTCAACCTCGATTGTACAAGTAGAATTATTCGAATTAAATATCATGTCAAAATTCGATTAGCAAAATATTTAATTCTCACATAGGCGAATGGATTTGGAATTTTAATTTAACGAGTGGCATAAATATGAGAACCACCACAAAACCGGGTGCCGCCGCCTGTTACGGCTGTTACAGCCTCTGCTTCTGTGGGCTGCTGACTTGGATGCTTAATTGCTCAAGAGATATGGGCCTCTTATTATTTAATTTCACACATTTATGGCAAAAAATATATTTCTTTTTATTTAATGCTCTGCTCAGATCTTGTGTACTCTTTCTTGTCCAATTTATTTGTTACCCTTCTCCGTTTAGCAAAATTTCATGCTCAAAACAAAACGCAAAATTTCCTGCTCATAACAAAACGTAAGATAAGTAATAATTGCATGCAAGCGGTGTGTCATAATTTCAATCAACTTTAAACATAAATATTTTTAATATATATTTGAGGCATTTAATTTATGCCAAATTTATTTTTTAATTGAATTAATATTCTAATAAATTAAATAATAGAGTTCATCAATTCAAGTCTTGATAATTTATTAATCACAATGAATTATGATTTTGAGATACAAATTACATATGATTGAATCGTAAATCGTTTGAGGTCGTAAGTAATAAAAAAAACGGATATCGTTATTACAGATAAACAATCACACGTGTCATTTCTTACTTGTGAAGTAAGTTGCCGATCTCACAAGTTAAAGTGTGATGACACTTAAATGAACTCGTGAGTATTTTGTTATAAAATAAAATATTGGAGATCTGCTGAAGAGATTCCACATTGATAACTATCTGAGTGTTAGTGGTTAATTTCTAACGTTCGACTTACATTTACTTAATAGAAGGATGAAAGATATGATCAATGATCGAGTTTGACACACTTCCATATCTTATAATTGATTGGTCATATTGACGAATGAATTATAGTTTCATGGTAAACGAATAAATTTGATATTCTCATACCACGTAACATTTTGTTGTCACATATATTGTCCGACACATTGCTAGATGTCAATTTGGGACAGCGAATGTGAATTGGTGATAAATTAAAAGAGGTATTTAAATTTATCGATTCTAATTAGATCAAAATAATAATTCATCTCATTAAATATCGTGATCGGGAATATAATGTGTCACACACAAAAAGAGAATTAAAATAATGAGATTCACCTATTAATTAATTAATTAACAAGTGTTAGACAATTAATTAATTGGTTAACTTGTTAATAGGGCGGAAATAATTTTTAATTAATTCATGAACCAAAATTAATTAATTGTATTAAATAAATATTGGATCGGATTAATTTTAAGAGACGGGTTAAGCCAATTTAGACTTTTATTAATAGACTGCTAGGATTTGAAAAATCATAACACAACAGGATTGTATTCTTGACCATAATTCTCTCATTCATATTCCCCATGTGTGGATTTCAATTGGAGGCGGGCAATTGGGCAGTTGTGAATTGCATATCGTAATTGTTCATGTTCTAACATGGACAAAAAAGTTTGCAGAATCTACACAAGGTATAATTCATATAACATTTTCTTTCTAAATACAAAGAAAATATTTGGTAAGAATTAAAATTATTGTATTTTTCGTTGTGCATGATTAAGCGAATTCTCAACATATACTACTTGGCAGATGTAACACCAAGCGATATTTTTTTTGGAAAATGACTAATTGGACATGTTAGCAGAATAATGTACAAAAATATAGTGATTTCTATGAATATTTTAGAAATCGCATCGGTTATTAACCCCTTAAAGATCCACTTCGAGTCAAATTAGGGATAAAAAAATTAGATGAATAAATATTTTTCCTTTTTTTAAAATGAACGGCCCGTTTTGAGGGCGAACCCAATAAAAACCCACAAAATTTTCTCAGTCGAACTCAAATCAAAACTTGGTTGGAAATTTTTAGTCTCACGAAGAATTGAATGTAAAATTTTAATCATATCATATACTGCTTACCAAATATGCACTTCTCCTCGTGCATTACAAACCTTATTTAGAAGAGATGAATGGACGAATGCACTTATCACGCAGAAGCAATTATCACAAGAATCCGAACTATGAAAATTGAAACATAAACTAGGTATGCAGGCGAGCAAATGCATAGACAAGTCTTTCCTGCAAAATGGATATGAACTTTATAATTAAAAGAGAATATGAAATTACAATTCAGTAGATACCCCATATGACATGATCGAAAGGGTTCTAACGAAATTTAAAAAAAAAACCCTCGAAACAAACGATTTCTTAGAGGATCACACAAATATAATTGGCTTCTCCAAATACTTCACTCCGATATTAAAACACCATATCTTTAGCTATTAAAAACATCGATTTCTTAATCCTTAGAAACCATGAATCTTGATTCGATCCTTTTTCACAATGTTGGCATTAACGAGGAACTGAGAAACATTCTTGCGCTGATCACCCTGGAGCTGAATCACCTTACCAAGCTCTTTGTCCTGTACAACATTTCCGTTGCAGCAGAACTCCTTTTTGAGATCTTTAAGGATCTTATCGTAGCTGAATTCCTTCCTCAGCCCCTGAACAGTCGTCAGGCTTTTCTTTCCATTCCTTTGTTGTATGCGAATATGCACATACTCCTTGGCTCCAGGTGCGCCAGAGTCCTTGGCCTCGGCAAATGGATCGAAAACAGTTGGAATCTCTGAGTCGCTATCAACCATGTAATTTTGTTGGACGAGAACTTTGTAACCAAGATCTAAGTGCGGTTAACGAAGAAAGAGCTGCGTAAGTCAAACACAAATATGATTACTTCTCAAAGAGGTCCAACAAAACAATTAGAATTTGGGGTCGGCTACATCAATCAATTCTATCTAATCAAGTCGATTGAAAAATAATCAAAGCGTAGACACCATGTGCATGTTTAATAACAGAGAAGTTCCGATAGGACAATCTTCTATACAGACTGTTCATTCAAATCACAATATTTTTCTCTCACCACATCTGATACATGTGTCACGGTTTGAATGGCTTGAGGTCAGAAGTGTCGTGCTTTAAGTGGATGATCGCATCGCTTGTGCAGTTGTGCACATGGAACCATCCAATTGAAGCTAGTAACATAAGACACGAGACTTGATAGTATAGTTAACGAGATTTCTAACTTCTTTTTTTCATCTCTACTACCAAACATGCCATAAGATTACAAAGACAGAATCATATAGAAACCTTCATTCAAAACTCATCCTCGTATGCATCTACCTCCATATCAATTAATCAAATTAAGACCCAACAAACTTGAGGCTACCTCACTCACAACACAAAACTTCATATACAAGGAAAAAACCAAATCTCCTTAAATTCTCCAACCCACAACATTAATTTCTCCAAACTCTCCACCCCTAATAAAGTATTTCACCTCCAATAAATTCAAGAATTGGTTATAAAACAATAGAAACCGAAACACGGAGGCTAAAAATACACGAAGCACAAAGCAACTAACAAAATAAATAACCCAGAAACATAAGATGATGATCTTATGTTCAAAAACAAAAACGTTAATCAGATCAGATCAGATCAGAAGACGAAAACCAAGAATGTTTCTTCTAGAAGAGAAAGCGTAAATGTACCTCCACACACCACACTCGCACAAACCAAACTCGGTATGTATTATGGATTCTGGGGTTGGGGTACGAATTTATAGACAAAGGGAAAGGCAGTGGTTGGTCTTTTCATTTGGACCACTAAAAAAAACCACGGTTATGCCTATATTCTAACCATGGTTAATTTTTAGACTTTCACGTGAAAATGAACGGCAGAGATTCTTTCTGATGGACCCAATCTTCTGTAATGAAAAGAGACGCGTAGATTCAACGCTCAAAGACTGGCTTTTGACACTGAAGGACAAATTTCGGGGTAGAGGAAGTGGGCCCTGCTATGTGAATAATTATCGGATTGGATAAAACTTGCGCCTTTCACGCTGACACCTGACAAGAGAATGTTCCTTGAACTTGCTCTTCACGCGCACTCCTAGATAAAATATTATCTTACTATGATCTAACGGAAAAAGTACAAACAAATAAGAAAAAATAGATTTTTATAAAACGTGAAAAAATATATAGTAAAAAAATTGTGAATCTCATAAAATGTGTGTGTATAATTTTTTATTTGACATAAATTGTTATGAAACTGATAGCAAAATATGACAAATAATGAAAAAATAAATAAGAAAACAAGAACACAAGGATTTAAGTGGAAATCCAATTAGAGAAAAAAATCACGGACAGAAAAGAACAATCCACTATAATCAATAGTTTTGTATTTACAATTTAAGATTTCAATAAACTCAATTGAAACCTAAGCAATCTCTCTCTAAATATGTTGTTGAATCTCAAGAGAATAATCTATGAATGTTATATAATGATATAAGATGTTAATACAATGTGGTTATATATATAAACCCCCTTATTGGAGTCCTAGATGAAGAAGAAATCCAAAAATCCGGATAGAACACGAAAAACGGAGAAAAATGCGGTCAGGTTACTGTAGCAGCGCTTGGGCGCCCAACTTCTGCCCAAAAATTTCTACTTCAATTTTCCGAGCGCCTAGGCACCACGATGATGGCGCCTAGACGCAAATCATTTTCCAAGCCAAACTCCAAATTATCGATGAAGTTTAATATCCTCAAGTTATGATTCTTCAAACCCAAGTACCATATACTTCCTCCAATCATTCAAATCCCAAATCACATGGAATTCCAACAAACCAAATATCCAAATCACATGGAGTTTGGATCAAACCACAACATAAACCAATGTTTGGCCCTCATTTTTAACCATATATTATCGTACAAAATAATTACACGCAAACATAAAGCTTTTTTTCTTTTTTTTTTAAAGCACATACTCTAACAAAATACTATTTCAAAATACATTTTGACCCAAAATTGGAGCTCAAACAGGACAAAGTATGTTTGTCAAAGCTTTTTTAAGCTTGTCGAACATTATTTGTATCAACACAATTTATAGGACACACATCTTTTATCCACAAATCTCGTAAACTCCCAATTTATAATCTACAAAAGCCTAACCAAACATAAACTAAGATGAATTCAAATTGGTATGATTGTGAATTTGTTCGTGGGTTTTGTAGCTACACACTTTTATGCACAAAGGTAAAAGGATTCATAGCACCACAATATCACCAATAGAATAGAATGTTCAGCCACATCAAACAGAAATGGGATAAAATGGTTTAGGTACTAGGATCATCAGGCAAACGTTTCAGGTCCATCTCTACTTGGTGAATAGTCCATTGCATATTTTCCAATTTCTGCACAGAGATGTCGATTTTTTAGAGTCAACCCCAAAGACTAAAATCTTAACCATCAAACTGAATGTAATTTTACCTTCACAATGTCATGATATTGCCTAGCAATGTTGTCAAAGTCAGGATCAACCCCTTGATACTCACGAAGCCGTGTAACCTGGTAAAACATCAAGATGTGTCAATTTACAAATAACCTATTTCTGTAATTTATTATAACACCAAGAATCCTCTAAACGAGTCATGTACAATCGACCACACAATGTTGCCAGGCAAAAGAGTAAAGCTCCGTAGTTATATTGGTGAATACATTCAATTTCCACTATTTTCACATTTGACAACCAATTATAATAAGGAGAATGACGAACCAAAAGGCCAAAATAGCTGAATTTCTAACAAAATACCGTACAGAGCAGGCATACAAAGTTAGCCAGTTCCCAGCTATTTCACATTTATAAGGTGTTCGTTACCATTGATGTAATGGTTAATAAACAGGATATTAGTACAGTAACAGAGATAATGGCACACACTTTTAAGCAAACTAGTGAACACATGACATAGTTAAATAAGCATACCGCTTTATTATATGCAAGTGAAACTTCCTCTGTAGATTCGACCAAATATTTTCTGGGACAAAGGGATATTAGTTAATTTTGTATCAGAGAAGTAAACTAAATGTGGATACAAATGGTCATATTCTTTTACCTTATTTTGTGGAGAGCCGGAATGGTTTCTGGAGTGTAGGTTTCAAGCAGGAGAATATGTTCTAGAACCCTTCAGGAAGACAAATCCAAAGTTATTGTAACTTAAAGCACGATCTTTAATAAACCAAGTATTAACTAAGGAACAAACATAACCAAATACCCAATGTCAATTATAAGATGAAAAACCGGAAAACAGAAAACAGCAGTGGGGAAGACTGACCCCAATTTAGCACTCATAGTCTCACATCTTTTGCACAGCCAACTCTTTTGCAGTTCATCCTATTGCAAAAATAAGCATATTTCAAAATAGGAATATTTCAAAACGGCAAAGATAGCATGCAATTATCTGATACAGCTTCAAGCAATTGCAAACTATTTTTTTTAGTACAGCTACATGGAAACAGTTCACTACGAGGGCTAAAGATAACCAAAGGTATGAAGCTTACATATTTATGTTGGTGTTGCAGTTTTACATCCTTGACAAGTTTGATAAGCACCCCAAGAATCTGCTCTAGAACCTTAGACAGACAAAAGTTAAAAGGTCACATACAAGTTAAGATGTTTGCACATCATAAAGTGAGTTTATTACATAATCATACTATGCATGAGAAGAATTAACCAGATAAAATGTAAAAAGATATAGCATCATCAAGAGATTCCATGGAATTCTTACTTACATTATAATACTCTGCAAATTTTCTATCAGAAGAATATAGATCCTCCCTCCATTCTGTTTCTTCTCTCTCAATTTCCTCAATAATCAATTTTACCCTGTTTATATAACAAATTAGAACTGCTATACTGGAGCTATAAACCCGTTGAAAAAAATTACTATTCGTCTCATTATAATATGAAATAATGGAGGTCAAACGGGCGCTTAAGGATCTTAGATTGAGTATTAAGCAATTCAGAATACACCAAATTTCCTTTTTTCATAGTTGAATAAGGATGATGGTTGATTCAACATAGAAGAGTGCTGTTCCATAAAGTGATTATTTTAGGTATATTCTATTATTAACACACAATGAAGGAGTGAAGAGGATGTAATTAGTAGTACAACCGGTTGGATTAATAATGATAAAACGATTTTGTGCGATCAGAAGATAACACTCAAATTCTATAAAATGGTTATACGCCAATAAAACTTCAAACTATTGAGCATTGAATCATTAAAGAACAAAATATCCACAAAATGAGCATATAAGGATGGCATCGGGGCACTGCGAATTGTCGCCCCGAAGATTGCCCTGCCATGTCCCCCCTCCCCCACCCCCGGATCGGCGTTGAAGGTGGGGCGTGGCAATCCCCAGCCCCTTTTTTATTCTTATTATTTTCTTGTGAATTCTAGGGTAAGTTAGGAAATGGTCTTATGCAATTGGTTCAAGTTTTGGGCATAAAAAATTTGAAATAAAATGAATTTTAACAATTTTTAAATTTTTAAAAAACTATATAAGCGGAGGAAGGCAGGGCTGCCTCGTCTCCACTCTGGGTAGAAAAACCACACCTCCAAACGGCCCCACCAACAGGGAAATCCTGCCCTGTTCAGGAGTGGAGCATCGCATGGCTCAGATTTTTCGGGTCAAATTGCCATCCTTATGAGCATAAAGAAGGGATACTCTAGAATGAATAAACTACATGGCTAGATGTATTTGCAGAAGATTTCATTTAGTTGGCTTTCCACAGAGGTAGCTTTTAATAAAAGAAGTGTAGAAGAATGAATCTTGGAACCCTCAGATATATTAGGAATAAACCTTAGTTTGTTGTCGATGTAGTACTAGTACGTCTAAATAATATGATTATTCCATATGGTCAAAACAAGAAAACTTTGATAATTTGAAGCAAACCATAGACCTAGATAATAATAAGCATATTTGTGCCCCAAGAGGAAAAACCGAACAGAAAGGGAAGAGAAAAAGGAAATGAAATACTTTGAGAAACACCATCAAGTGTGACTTGCACAACATGAAAACATTGGAGATTACAGGGGAGGTCAGAGAAAGAAAAAGTTACGAACCTTTCTGGAAGTCGAGAAGCCAAACTCTGATGACCAGTCGACGAATCTGACAAACCAATGCAACGTAAAATAGTTAATCTGTAGCATACATTTAGATACTAGATGCAAATTCATTTGCTTAGATTAAACGGGTACAAAATCTATTAAAACCAATTCCTAATGCATGGATGCCTTTGCCTAACTTATCCTGCACTCTAGCATAACTATAATGAACAAAGGCATAGACCGTGGCATACAGCATGTGAATGCCTACAGGATAAAACTGAATAATAAAACAGACGAATGATAGATGACAGATTGGGAGACAAACTAAAATTAGGAGACCACAAAGTGTCCAGAAGGTGTTGGTGCATGCTTCTTGTCCACAAAATAAGCAAGCCGACTAAATAACATGGCATGAACGCGCGATAAGAATGGATAGGTGAATCATCTAAACTGACCAGTGTCATCTATGACAGCATCTGCTAACTTATCACATTTAGCATCTAACCGACCGGCAACTTCACGGGCAAGCAACACCTGGTATTTTGTAGTGTCCTACAAATACAGAAAGTTAAAGCACCTTTAGTTGCTCCATCTACATTAAACAATATGAATAACTTAAAGTTTTAAGCATGTATAAGTTTCCACTTCTTTTATACATAACTACAAAATAAAGGCATAACATTATTTATGAACTTTCCATGCGGAGACAATGAAAACCTGTCATAGCTGCATCAAGTATTTCCAAGATGTTTTAAATCATAATCATGAGGGGCATCCTACCATGGATAATGGTGGCTGTTTAAATTGTGTTTGCCATAAATAGGTTGGTGTTACTCCAAGGAACCTATTTGGGACACCACCAACTTCAGGTTCTGATGCATCAATTATGCCTGAGAGAGCATTGTTTGTAGAAGCACCCATTCCGATAGCAGAAACATTTGTATAATTAGTTGAATTTGTACTCGAGCTCATTGTGACACTTGTACTTGTGCTATCCAGTGAGCTTCTGGACATGTTACCCAATTTTTCAATTTCATCCTCATGAATATCACCATCTTTAGAAATCAGCGGAAGCCTCAACTTTTGAGCAGCTTCAGCAACAACCATCCGATGCTCAAGAGTCTCGTAGACCTGAAAACCATGTAGTTCAATTATCCATTCTTGTCAACTCAAACCCCAATTTCTATACTTTATATCACTTGCTTCCCTCAAATTCCTCAATATCAAATGAAACAGCAACACTTGATACTTGATAGAATGTCTTAGATAGCCTATTGATTGCATTGATCAAGTGGAAAACAAATTTTACCAAGGCTATGCAGGATAAAATTAAATTGTGAGAGAGTAATTTGAGAACCAGGACCTGAGGAGAGTTCTTCAAGCTGAGCTGTGGATAAAGACCTTGAACATCCCGAATGCCACCCAGATTAGCCACAGAAATAGCCTGCTGATACTCCTCCACCATTGTTATCGCCTCTATGTAGATTGCCTACATAATCGTATCAGCATTATCACCCAAGTTATGTATATTGGTGTGCATTTGTGTTTGTATAAAATATCAAAGCTTAAGCATTTAAATACCAGTACCACAACTTTAGAGCATGTTCGGGTAAGCTTAAAAGTAAAAATGTAACATTTAAGCATTTTAGTGTATAAAAATGTTTAGATTAGTTGCTTTTTTTCTTACTTCTCCATAAAAGAATTTATTAGCAACCAAAGAGAATTTGGATGCTAAATGGGTCAACGAGAAAGGTAACGCTTTTGTCTTTATAGTTGCTAATATCGATTTAGCAGCGTTCCTTACTACAGCTCTTCCTAAGGGGCTGTTGTGGTCTCAGTTAACATCTTTTTCTTCTTTCAAAAGCATTATTTTGGGTCGCATACATACATAAAATCTATATCTTTAATCTTAGTCATAAGAAGACGGAAAAATTCATGCAAGCCAATTCAATTCGCTTGGGAACAATCACATTGGGAACTTCTCTGCTCAAACCGATTCACTATTTTGAATCCCGAATAAGCAAGTAACAGAGATGCTTTAATCCAAATATACTACCATGATAGAAGAATATAAACAAGGATAGCTGGATCATTGAATAAAGGAGAAGAAAATGCTTATAACTTATAACGATCCAAATTACATAACGTAATACTAAAAAAGGAATATACACTAAAAAGCAATCATTGATAACCCATATATTGTCTCATTCTGGACCATTATCCATTTAATGTTGACGTATACCCCATATCCTAAAAGTCAAAATTAGTAACTTGCTCATTTTCAAATATAACCGATGAAATTGATTGGTTTTAAACCTTATTTATCACTTCTGTGTAAACTTATTAAGCTTAGCCAAGCATGTTTTAATTTAAATTCATCCATAAACCCTAATCAGTGGCAAATAAAATTTCACAACAGTACCATCGCTTCCAAGTATCGCCGTCTCTCTTTACACATTTCTTCTCTCGCCTGCATTATCAAATAATGCAGAATCTTCAAAATAAAATTCAAGGAAAAAAAAAAAGAAATATGTGAAAATGAAGTAATTAGTAAATTACGAGTTGAAGATCGTAGTAGGTGGATTTGGAAATTAGAGATCCATCGGGGGCTAAGCAGTGGCGCTCCAGCTGATCAATTACTTGACTCACGTCCGCCGGAAGATTTTGCGTTGCAAATAGTTTCGCCATTGATTAGGCAAAAATGCTTCCTTCTCGACAGTTTTGCTTTCTTTTGCCGGCACAAAATTTCAAGTTCGATGGCCGTAAATGGATATCTAACGACAGCGTTTTACGGTTCGGTGCATATAATTTTTGGGCAGATTCTCTCTCCAAGTCTTTCCATCTCTTAATTTTACTAATAGCCACTGAACTTTTCACTTATTGATGCTTTTGCCACCAAAGTTTATTTGTTTCAGATTCATCATTAAGCTTTATAAAATGTTTCATTCACGCCATCTACTCATTTGATGTCCATTTTTTCACCGAAAATCTTACAACTTACATATCCAAAAATGTCTCATTCAGACCACTAACTCAATTTGATGTCCATTTTTTCACCAAAAATCTTACGTTCTTACATATCCAGGTGTCAAGTCGTATGATTTAATTAAAAATTATAACAATTTGTTGACATAACACATGAACACGTAGAATTTCAATTAGAAAATGGACGCCAAATTGAATCATGAGTCCTAAAACATATTATAGTTCAATGACCAAAGGATGCTAAGGGTGTGTTTGATTACATGTATTTCCCATAAAAATGTTATTTTTCATCCAAATTCATAATTTGGAGTATTTGAAAATATGCTTAATTTTCTTTATTTTTGAGCAAAACATTTTCTTTGGGGAAGTAGATTTTTGTTTTCTTCTTCATAAGGAAAACATTTTCTTTTTTAAGTGATATTTTTCATACCAATCAAATATACTCTAAGTGTAATGTTCGATGAAAATCAATGAGATTTTTAAATCAAGTCCATGTTTGGTAGGGATTAAAATTTAGATTTCAATATAAGGATCATTAGCATAAAATGTTCCTACGTTTTGCATTTGGTGTGAAAAAGGTCCCCACGTTTCAATTTTTTGCATTTTCACCCATATTTCTATGTTTCATTGTGGAAATTGTCATTTTCATCCAATTTCTCGATAAAAAATGTAGAACGACAAATATATACTTATATTTAAATAAAATAAAAATAAAGAACAAATTGCAACTATACTTCCAAAATGTGGTAATTACATAAATCCCTACTTTAAGTATTCAACATCCTAAAATCATGTGGGAAGTTTAACCTTTCAAAAATCAGATGTTTTAATTAATATATTATTATTAAATTCAATTAATTTAGAAATCAACCGCACCCACCTCATTTCCCCCCGAACATGTTCTCTCTCTAAACCAAACCCTAAAATCCCAAATCAACTATCACACATTCCTTCTCTCTCTTCCTCCCCTCTCGACAGCTTCTTCCTCTCCCTTTGGCCTCCTCTCCTCCTAGCCCTTCGGCGACTCCATCATCAACAAGTAGAAGGCCGTCGCTGGCACCTGCAGTCAAGAAGTGGAAGGCCTCATTCAGTCCGACTGCTCCCTCTCCTTAATTCATTTTCACTCACTACTCTCTTCTCACTCTCTCTACCAACCTTCACCGACGACGCCGCCGCCCTCCTCCCTCTCTGCCGACAGCCCAGCCTCGAGGCAGCACAGGCGCGCACATATCTCCCATCATTCGTCTGTGACGCGAGGGCCACCTCTTTCATTTCTTTCTCTAAAGCCAGGCGACGGTGCAGGGCCACGATGTTTCGTGTGATAAGTTGGTTAGATTCACAGTTGGTGGTATAGAGTGGTGATTGTTGGTGCAATGTGGCTGTTGGTGATTTGAGGCAAGTTGTGGGTTGTGATTTGAGGTGTTCATCCAATGGCGGCGGCGAATTTTATTGTTAGATGTGTTTGAAGGTGGTGACGGTGACTAGTTTGATCGTGGAGTTTGTTGGATCTAGTGATGGCATTGGTGGTTGTTTTTGTTTGTGGATGCAGTGGTGGCAACGACGACGACGTGGCTGGAGGTGGTAGTGCTGACAGGTTGTCGTGAGGAGGTGGTGTTTTTATACAATGTATTGATTTGTTGAGATTGTGTTATTGTGGTTCTGGCCGTGACAGTAACGGTGGTGGTGCTGATGGGAGTGGTGAGATGGTGTCATGGTGGTCACAAGTGTTGGTT